ATCGGGAAAGCTTGAAGATTGCAGGAAGAATCGCCGGCGGAAGCTAGGATTTTTTGCAGAGAGGACTTTGAATGCAAAGGAATTTGGGAGAGAATGAAGGTGGAAAAAGTCTAAAATTTTACTAAGTGTCGGATTTATACTTAGGGAAGTTTAAGGGATGAGAAGATGAAGACCGTTAGATTAAAGCCCGATCGTACGGTAGAAGGCATTAATTTACGCGGCACTCAAGGCTGGCACGTTATGCAAAGGGGTGTCATTATTAAAGCGCCTGACACATGCAGCCGATGCGACGCGTGGTAGAAAAGTGGGTGCGACAGAAAGGACTTGAAACAGACGACTTTATTTCTAGCGATAAAGGGAAAATTATTTGAAAACATGAGCGGGAAACTTACCAGCTGGTCGATATTTGGCGACGAGCCATCCATAAGGTCGATAGATACGAATTCACTCTTAGATCGAGTCATTCAGACTCGACCAGAGTGGGGGGACTAGATGATATGGGATATTATATACTCAAGGATAAACCGGTCTACTCAACCGGTTGAGAAGATCACACTAGGAGGAAGCCAAGACAAGAAGCGGGAGGATCGATCATTCAGATAATCGACCAGGAAGGTGGTCGAACAGTCCATAGCACGACCAGACAAGCGATCGAGCAACCCATCGCTCGACCAGATACATGATCGGCCAACCTATTCGACCTCAACAGGTCGATCGCTTCGAGGAACCAACAGTCGGCCTAGTCATGGGCGCGTGTATCATGGGCGCGCATAAGAGCCTCTAACTGCATCTCAGGAGAATATTTACCCCATGTGCAAGGGGGACACGTGTCGAGAATGTATTGGGTGATAGCGATAACCACCTCTGACAGCTCCCAACGCCCTGCGCCACCTCTGACATGTGCGCGGCGTGTCAAAATACGGACGGGCAGCTTGGGTAGCCAGCTCATCCTTATCCGGGCAGCTATTAGGGCAGGTATCTCACCCCTATATAAAGGGGGTGAGCCTTTCTCCCTTAACACATTCTATTTTCCATATTTCACTTCAGTATACTCATACACATACTGACTTAAGCATCGGAGGCTCTTCACCGGACACAACCCCCGATGTGAGATTTATTTACAGGTTTCCAGCGTTCTACCGGCGAGGACAAGAACCGATCTATCCCGAACTGGACCAGGACGCTTACGCTTGCATTAACATCATATAATTATTCTTACTTACCAAAATACCTCGTATGTCATCCTAATAAAATAGGAATCACTTGGTAAATCAAATAAATAAGAAATAGAAATATATGCCTATTTTAT